ACTTAAAGCCTCCAAATTGTAAGAATAAACTCCTGTTTGTTAAGGCCATCCCATTTGTGGTATATTCTTGTCAGAGCAGTACCAGGTAACCAGAACAGAATTAAAGACACAGGGAACAGGTAAATACTACAGGAAGGAATTAGGAAGAGAGCTGATACTTTGTGGGGAAATGCAGTCAATGTCATGAAACAGAATGTGTATGAACTGCTGTATGGTAAATGAATTTGCTCTGTGAAATTTCACCCAAATCACCATAAAAATAATCCATGAAAAATAAACAACAACAGGTGTATAACCTATTAAATGAAAAATGAATGTGCTCTGCAGAATTTCACCCATATCATAATGAAAAGTGAAAACAAAAGGGAAGGGGAATCAGTCTTTGGAGAAGGACATCATGTTTGGTAAAATAGAAGGTGAAAAAGAGGAAGACCTTTAGTGAGGTGAACTGACACAGCGGCTGTAACAGTGGACTCAAACATATCAACGGTTGTGAGGATGGTGGACAGGGCAATGTTTTCTTTTGTTGTACATAGGGTCACTGTGAGTCAGAACCAACTCAACAGCACCTAACAACAACAGTCTAAACTACCTAACATCAATGCCTGACATATAGTAGGTGCTCAATAAATATATATTACTGTCCCTTATGAGGCTATGGCAACCTCTAGAAATCCCAGATTTCTTTAATGGAAGATGAGTAGAAATGACAAACAGCTGTGGTTTTGTTGCTAAATTCTGAGTTCCTTCAGGTACTTTTCAGAGAGGCACATTCACCCTAGAGGCTGACAAGCCAGACCTCACACCACTCAGCTTCTGCTGACCTTTTCCTCAATAAGAGCCCTTAGGGAGACCTGGGAGTCACTGATCACCTGGAGGCTGAGTGGTATGCCACTGTCTAGTGGACATGTGCCTGGATGAGGGCTGGGAATCCAACTACAGGAAGTATGGAACCCCTTGGCAGGTAGAAGTTATTTAATAAAATAACCCATGTCTGGACCCTCCTCATTGCTGTTTATATTATCTTCACAGAAGACAGTGATATAGTTTGGGCTGTTGCTAATCAGAGATCATGCAACAGATGCCCTCGACTCACTGTTTCCATTACTCCCCTCACTCCATTCATAACAGTCCTTCCTATTACATGTTTAATGAGAGCCTTGGGAACACAGAACAGTTGTAAGAGTGTACCAGCGGCCAGGCTCTGGGCTATATTTCATTTAATTCTCCACTCATCCCAAGAGGCAGATCTCATTCTTATCCCCACTTTACAGATGAGAAGACTGATTTTATAAAAGGCGATATGATCAAGATCACATGGCTGGTATGTGATGGTATGTGATGACTAAACAGCTGCGTGGCACCGGCGTTTATGTTTGCTCCTGTACACTATACAGCCCATTGTGTGCTGACCTCATAAAGCCTGCAACAGCTGGCTGCCAATGGCCACTTACCAAAGTCAGTGACCGTTGTGCCTCAAGCTGTTTCTGAGCTTCTTTCTTCGTCTAAGATGAGCCAGGGTGAACTGCTATGAAGAACCCCTTCCTGACATGTGTCTATGTCCAGAGCAGCCCTCCTTCCAGTTTAATAACCACAGGGGCAAGGTGCTGCAAATTGTAGCACTTCACAAGCAGAAAATAGTTGTTGACCATCTTAATTTCTCACTTTCTTGCTCCCTCTGGGGAAAAAGAAAACAGTCTTGGAATTTTACTTTCACAGAGTGTCTCACTTGAGATGCAGTGAGAGCCATGTCCCATCTCCATCTGCAGTGTAAGCTGTGCTGCCTCAGGTGAACCCTGCAGATGGTGGTGACAGTTACATTTGATCCTATGCACTGAAGAGTAGCAGGAAGGTTAACACTCCAGTCATCCTTAGTTCACTTGTGCTGGTCCTCCTTTCGGCAAGTTGGGAGCATGGTCTTTATTTCAGGAGGTCAGGGGATGGGGCAGACCCTTCCCACCCTCTCAGCTGGGAGGTTTGGGGAAGGTGGTTCCTCCTCTGAACCCAGATGCTTTGGAAGGTGCACTTCTGCGTATGTCCACAAGATGGCACAGAGCACCTCCATCCAGGAAGAAAAAGCACCAATCAGCTGCAGAAACCTGGAGATTACTGGCAACGCAAGAGAACAGCAAAGCTCACTTATATTTAGCCCTTGTTTTTCTGTTTCCATAGACATGACCACACGTAAAAAGAATGTAAAAGTTACAAATATGATGATTTGGTCAAATGTCTCATCAGATCAGCCAGTATTCTGCAAACAGGACAATCAATCCCAGCACAGAGTTAGACTGACTTTCTCATCTTCTGAAACACCATGAAGTTCCTTTTGTTAGAACAAAAAGTGAGTTATCTGCAACTTAAAGAAACTGAATCAGGAACAAGGATGCTTCTGAAGTGGCTGATGTAGGGCAGGTCTGGTTAGCTAGTCTCTGGCTCCAGCAGGCTGGGCCCTCTGCTTCCTCTACCTTGCAACCCCAGAAAACCACTGGCAGAGAAGGCAGTGCAGGGCTTCACATTTTCCACACCATTCCACACTATCCAGCCAAAGATGCTAATAACCAAAACATTCTCTTCACACGGACCCACACATTTGCTTAAGAAACTCAACTCGTCATCTCGGGAAGAAGAAATCGTTCACCAGAACTCTACTCCAGCAATCCGTCATGTACACAATCCAGGAAACAAAACTGCAAAAGTTGTGGAGGTGTGGACTGATACACAGATTTGGTGAATGAGGCATTTCCCAACATAGTACAGGTGCTTGAGGGGGACCTCATGGAACTTGCCTTGGAGCTGTAGTCACAATACCATGGTCACAAGTGTGGGCCTGGGCAGCGGCTCTAGAATATGTTAAGGTTGTTTATGTTATGGTTTTAATGTATATGGGGCTAACTTAAGAACTTCTGAATTGAGGCCCTTATCAAAATGACTGAGTAAAAATAATTGGCAATGAGTTGCTTTTTCTTGGTTGCTGTCTTAGTCCTCCAGTGCTCCTGTAACAGAAATGCCACAAGTGGATGGCTTTAACAAACAGAAATTTATTATCTCACAGTTTGGGAGGCTAGAGGTCTGACTTCAGAGTGCCAGCTTTAGGGGAAGGCTGTCTCTGTCAGCTTTGGAGGACGTCTTTGTCTCCTCTCAACATCTGTGGGCCTGGCATTTCTTAGAGATCTCCCTGTGTCTTGGCATCAATCTTCCCCTGGGTCTAGGAGGTTCTCAGGTCATGACCCCCAGGTCTGAAAGATGTGTTCCCGCCTGGCTCTTCTTTCTTGGTGGTAGTCAGGTCCCTCATGTCCACTGGCTTTGCTCTCCTTTTATCTTTTGTAGAATAAAAGGTAAGACAGGCCACATCCCGGAGAAACTCCCCTTACATCAGATCAGGGCTGTGACCTACCTAATGGATACTATTGTATCCCACCCTAATCCCCTTACTAGTGA